AGTCAAGATAAGCTATTATGTGAGTGGAGGTATCTATCAGAAATACATTTTCAGTGTAGGAAAATGTTCACTTTTTCTATCCATCTAGGTTTCTTAGAATGTAATTGTGATTTAAATTAAATACAAGTAGGTTATTGAATAACTGGTACATATTTCAAACATATTGTTAGCAACTTATGTACAAACATTTCTCATCTGGCCATGGAGTTTTTTATTTTCAGTAGATATTGGTTTAACTATACTGGAATTGATACACCATGTTTGCATGGGTTTAACTATACTGTGGCATTCAAGGTTCATACCAAACACTTCAGAAAACAGGATTTTCAAATTATTTTGGTGCAAGTGAAGTATGTAGTTGGGTGTGACTAGAACAAAGATTAAGAAGCTTGTTTTAAAAAAAAAAGATAAGTAGGTTATGTATAAAGATTAACTGGAATAATGATGTCATACTTAATAAAGAGGTCAGTAAAAATTCTTTATGATATACAGAAGTAGAGAAATTACTAGTTTGTTCAGTTTTAATGATATCCAAAAAGGGAAGAAACAGTTTTCTTCAATTAGAGAAATGCACTAAATTTTGGGATGCTGTTAGTTTAAATACTAGGAATTTTGTATCATAATTAACGTAAAAAAATGTAAAACGTATCACTTGTTTTGGTTTTGTAAAAATGATTGGAAATTAGGTGAACAATTGTTTAATCATATGTGTTCATAGTGAAAGAGAAAAGTATTGTCTAAAGTTGATTCAAGGGGAAAAATCCATTATAACTCTATATGTTTGTTCATAAAAATTTTTTATTAAAGATAAAATTATTTGTCTTCTTAATAAAGATGTGATATTTGTGGAATTGTTTTGATGTGAAAGAAAGATATGAATCAATATGGGAAGATATGACTGGAAAATTATTTCTAAAAATTTTGTCCAGGGGAATATTTATATAGGGAGATTTGGTAGACTAGTAATAGCATATTAATTGGCTAAGAAGATTTTTGAAATTTCAGAACAACTGTGAAATAGTCTGTTGGTACATTCATTAGAAATCAAGGATTTAAGAATAATAAGAATCAACTTTCCAACTTTATAATTATAGATTCCATCAGATGAAAGAATAGGTGGAATTTGGATAGGCCATATTTGTTTAGCACAAAGTTACACAATGGCCTGTTTGTGCTCTGTTCACCTCAGGTATCAAAACCCAATTTTTGTGTTAAAAGCTCTCAGACTTACCAGGAGCCCTTAAAAAATGACCTAACCATTTATTTATAGAGATACTTGGTTGTAAACACATTTTTTATAAAATTTTTTAATTCTGTTTTAAGGATCAAAGGTCCATTTAATTTTTTTTTTCAATTTTGAAGAGTTTTTAAAGAGCTGATTGATTTTAGTAATGAAATTACTTTTCCAAAAATATCAGTATCATTTTCTTTGTTTAGCTATGTTACAATAATATACTTGTAGGTGAGGCAAGATAATAGGAATTTTATCTATTTTAAATTCTTACTGATATATATTAGTGTTTCAAATTTGTGTTAAGTTTAAATGTTTCATTGTATTGTTCATTTCATAATAAAATTGAAGCTTGAATTGTATAATATAACTTGTTTCATGTTTTATATGTGCATATTCTACTGCTGATTTGTTATTATTATTTTCTAAACTTTACATTTTCAAAAATTATTCAGATTTTTACTTCTTTTCTCTAAAATATTTTGGTGCTGCTTGTTGACAGGCTTCTTTAAATGTAAAAAAAATGTGTGACTCATGCAAATAAATTTTTTGTGTCCTAATCACTTTCTTTACTTTCATTACTAACATTTTAACAACTTACCAAATTTGACTAAATTGCTCATAAACACTCCCATTAAACAAAGGATATTACAGTGGCATAGGAAGCAGAGAGCCCATGCCCCCCACTTTTCAATATGTCCTAATAAAAGTGCATCAAAATTAGGAAAATTACCCTCAGGAAAAGCAGGAGAATACATAAAATTTAATCCAGAACCCAAGATCTTCCAGGGACCTATGAATAGCCTTGACCAAGGCCATAATAGGTACCCCTTTGGGGCAAGTTCTCTTGTTTCACTTGGTCATATAAACCTAGTGCCCCCACTTTTAATTTGCCTCCTACACTTCTGAGATTTGTTACATTGTTATAAACAACTGTTTTAAGCTAAAACTCCATATTTTAAAGCTGTAACATTTAGGAGTCAAAATAGGGATTTGTAGCTTGAAGAAATAATGTCAACACTATGTCTCAAACCTTAAATTTGATTGTTTACTTTTTTGTGATTGCATTTTCACTTTAAGCTACCTTTCTTGTTTCTAGAATTTTTTTTGAAGATCTGTATTCCCCCTTTTTAAATTGATCTTTAATAATCTTGTTGTTTACATCAAAGACAATGCACTTGTGCTAGGGGTGTCCAGGAGATAATCCTCTAGATGTTTTTTTTGTTTGTTTGTTTTAAGCTATTTATATGATCTTAAAAGGTCAAAATTTCAATCATTTCAAGTAGGTTTTGGCATGCTAATCAGAAGATTGCACAGTTTCAGTTCAAGTAAACTGTCAGTCATGTACAACAGTCAGGCTGATGGGCAAAAGTATTTCAGAATAGCATAAGAATTTAAAATATCAAGGGTATGTCATATTACAATGGTGAAATTGCTTAAAATATCAAAACATATTGCTTCTAGTATTGTATAATTACAATTTATTAATTAGAATATCATAGTATTAATTTTTTTTTTACTGTAAACTTAATTCAATAGTTGTTTTATTGTCTTTGTCTTCTTAATATTTTCAAGTATTTATATATATAATTTATCTTGTATAATTATCAATTCAAATTCAGCATTGTTTAATTATGATATAACTGGTTGTAATAGTGACTCACTTTGGGAGTGTAACTAGCTCTTTCCACTTGTTGTTTATATAGAAGTAGTTGGAAACATTAACTTCAAACTACAACAGGTGAATAAAGGTCGATACAATTTCCAAAAGGGAACATTACCCACCACCTAAAATCTTTTACCAAGAAAAATAGCTGAGAAATTGTCACAGCCCAATTCTTGTCTCTATTTTAAGCAGTAATAATAATTTTTGATTTGAAGTTTTTGTTTCAAACATACCAAAACTTTATATATTAATTTATTGTGAGTTCTGCAGTGAATTTAGAAGCCCTATGCCTAGCATTGTGACTCTTTGAGTAGTGCTGCACTAATTTGTCCATATAGGCCTTCACTTAAATTTTTGTAGGCACTAACTAATGGTTGCTAGTTATTTTTTTCCCTATTAGGAATGCCACCCTCTGACACAGCAGTAAGTCTGCAGAGTTAAAATGCTAGAAAACAGGTTTTGATACCTGGTGGGAACAGCTTTATGCTCACTGCAAACAAACAAACAAACCCACTAGGAACTTTGGGACTGCTACTAGAAACGTTATTCTTCTTAAAATTAGCAATTGATGTGTTCGAAGGAAAACG